CGCCAGGCACTTCTGTCTTCCACTGCCTCCCGCAGTTTGGTCAAATTCATGCTGGTAGCTTCGAGAACACTATCCAACCATCTCGTCCTCTGTCGTCCCCTTCTCCTTGTGCCCTCCATCTTTCCCAACATCAGGGTCTTTTCCAGGGAGTCTTCTCTTCTCATGAGGTGGCCAAAGTATTGGAGCCTCAGCTTCACAATCTGTCCTTCCAGTGAGCACTCAGGGCTGATTTCCTTCAGAATGGATAGGTTTGATCTTCTTGTAGTCCATGGGACTCTCAAGAGTCTCCTCCAGCACCATAGTTCAAAAGCATCAATTCTTCGGCGATCAGCCTTCTTTATGGTCCAGCTCTCACTTCCATACACCACTACTGGTAAAACCATGGCTTTAACTATACGGACCCTACAATGTAGGTTAGGCTAAATGTCGCCCAATGCAGCAGCGTCAGGATTTGAACCCTGGTTCTTCCGAGTCCTAGTCCAACACTAACCACTACACCACAGTGGCTTTGGTGCAGAGATGCACTTTTTCCTGGGGTTGGGCCACTGGGACAGTTTGCTCAGCAATGCTTGATCAAGTTCCCCACACGCACCCTTCCTCTGGTTCCTGTGACTATAGCCCTGGGGTGCCCAATGTAGTGCCATCCAGGTGAGGGGAGAGGGACTTTGTGCTGGCCATCAGTCAGTGGCTTTCCTCACCTGTCTTGGCCCATCCTCCAGCCCTAGGAGCCTTTAAAGGAGCTGTTTCCAGAGGAAAAACTGTGAGGGGAGGAGAAAGGAACTTTCAGAATGGAATTGCTGCCACAGAGTGCAAGATTATGGCCAGGGGAAGGGGGAGTGTGTATGTGTGCATGTGCACAAATTCAACAGTGCTTATTTTAGGGCTGCCATACACCTGGAATTTTCCCAGACATATCTGGAATACAGTGGTACCTCGGGTTAAGAACTTAATTCGTTCTGGAGGTCCGTTCTTAACTTGAAACTGTTCTTAACCTGAAGCACCACTTTAGCTAATGGGGCCTCCTGCTGCCGCTGCTGCGCGATTTCTGTTCTCATCCTGAAGCAAAGTTCTTAACCTGAGGTACTTTTTCTGGGTTAGCAGAGTCTGTAACCTGAAGTGTCTGTAACCTGAGGTACCACTGTACTGCAGGTGGTAGCAGTGTCCTGGTGGAAATCAACATATGGCAACCTTTCCATAAAAAATAGCTCAAAAATGTCTACTTTTTAATGCGATTTTGCTCAACAACTTTGGCAAAAAACAAACAAACAGTGAAACATATTTCACTGTTTGAAATATGGCAACCCTAGTTGGATTGCTATTTTGTCGTTAGTATTGTTTTATAGATTAAAACAAACTAAGGCGGGGAGCACAGAAGAGGCAAAGTTAATTTCTGGTGAGACAACCCTCTCCCTACATGTTAGATTTCTGAAATTGAGAGATGAGTCCATTATTATTATTAATATACAGTAGTAGCTCAGGTTACAGACGCTTCAGGTTACAGACTCCGCTAACCCAGAAATAGTACCTCAGGTTAAAAACTTTGCTTCAGGATGGGAACAGAAATCATGCGACGGCGGTGCAGCTGCAGTGGGAGGCCCCATTAGCTAAAGTGGTACCTCAGGTTAAGAACAGTTTCAGGTTAAGAACGGACCTCCAGAACGAATTAAGTTCTTAACTCGAGGTACCACTGTACTGCCCTATACCCACAGGTCTCACTTCAGAACACCAATCCTAACATCTCTTCTCTGAAGTCGTGGAAGCACGTTTAGGATTATAGTAACCTGGATTTAACCTCCAGTTAAATGATTCAGTTATAATGAGCTATGATGGAAATTAAGAAATCCTCCCTTCCAGTAACCACAAAAGTCCAGCCACGGGGCAGGGATGGGGCGAATTATTGGCGAGTTATTGTTGTCGTCACCCCCTACCTACCCTTGAACTCTCCTGTGGCACCAGCTATGCAGAAATTAGGGAATCATGCAGAAATTAAGCGCATGAATCTCCTTCCCATCCCCGATAGCAGGAAGGGCCCCCAAAGCTTAGTTCCTGCACAGGAAGCCGCTTGTTAAAAGCAGGAGGCGAGGGCGAGGGAAGAAAGGTCCGCTCCCCAAATGCGCAAAGCTCTCCTTGCGCACGTCGGGGGTGCAAACTGGGGGAAGGAGCAGAGAAGCAACCTGCTTGGCCTGTTACGCGCTTCACAGCAAATAAAAATAAAAATAACCAGGCAGCAGTGTAAAGGCTGTCTTGGCCCTGCGAATTCTTTCCCCAGACCCAAAGGGACCTCTTGCAAAGTTGGCAATCTCCGGGGCACCTTCTGCCTTGCCGGACTCCCCTTCCTCGACCCTCCCTTTAAGGGCACCCACCACCTGCGTCCATCTGCACACCCAGCGCCTCCAAGACGCCTTTGCAAAACCGGGGGCTGCCCCAGTTCCCGCCCCGGAACCCAGAAAATGCACCGCCGCTCCTAGAGCCTTGCTGGGCGTGCGCGCGCACGCTGGGCCATGCACCCCGGCGATGCACAGCCCGTGTACACGCGCAGCGCACGAGCGCCGCCGTCCAGCCTCCGCTGGCAGTCTTTCCACGCCGGGAACCCTCCTGTTCCTTCCTGCCGCCCCCTGACCCACCCGGGTTTGGGGAAGAGGGCTGCCTGCTGCAGCTCTCTTCGCCCACCACCACCCCACCTCTCCTCTTTCCTCTCCTCCTTCCTTCCTTCCATCTATCCATCCATCCATCCCTTTCCAGGACGCGCGCCCTCTAGCGCCGCCGCTTCGGCCGGCAGCGCCAGCTCCCGGGCAGCCGGGCGAGGGAGGCGGCGGTCGTGGAGCTCAACAAGGCGCCCGCCCTTCGCGCAGCAAGCAGCGGCTACTCCGCTGCCGCCTCTGTCCTGCAGGTAAGGGAAAGGCGACTCCGGACGGGCGCTGCTGCTGCTGCCGCCGCCGCCGCCCCTACCGCGGAGACAGGGCGCAGGGCCGGGCGATGCGGTCGGGGGTTGGTTGCTTTGCTTTCCCCATCGGAGGAGGAGGTGGTGTTGGGAGAAGAGAATAAGGGGTGCGCTGAGAAGAGGGAGGTTGCATGGTCGAGGGGACCCCCCCGACCCGCGGACATCGCTGCAGAGAGGAGGAGGAAAGTGCGGTACAGGTGGGCCGGGTGTAGGGCGAGAGCAGAAAGGGGTGCTCCGTAGGGAGAAAAGAGGGGTGCACTTTGGGGGGGCAGCGGGGGGCTGTGGAGGCATGCAGGCGGCTGGAACGCGAGAGGGGGGTGGGGCCAGGGGGCATTTGATTGAGGGGTGCATCTGGAAAGGCGGGGGGGGCGGGCTGCAGGCTTGGGGGCGAGGCACAGGTGGGGGTAAGATGAGAAGGGTTAGGGTCTCGGTGGGGAAGCCTAAGAGCTGAGGATGGGAGGAGGGAAGAGAGAAGGGGGCAATGTCTGGGGTGCAGTGGAACAGGGGTGCAAGTGGTTTAGGGCCAGGTTAAAACGCTTTGCTTCTTTTTTTTGCGTGGGGAGGGGAAGGGAGGAGGAACGTGGATGCGCTGCAGCTGCATGCAGCCAGGCAGCAATGTATGGATACTGGGCCCCTGCTGGTGCTTGGCGGTGGGGGCGGGTGATGGGGGCAGCACCCATCAGGCTTGCACGGGCCTCCCCCGCATGCATGCACACAGACACACACACCCCTGCCTGGCACAGGGTGTAATTAGGAGGCGGTTGGCAGGACTCGGCACGTCAGGGCACAGACAATGGGCCAGCCTCCCCGGGGCGGCTGTTGTGCCAACACGCTGCTAATGTGATTAGGGGAGCATTTCGGCAGCCAGAGCTGGCCTCCTGTGTATGTGTGCACGCTCGTGTGCCAGGGAGTGTGCAGGGGGGAGGCAGCGTGGGTGCGAGGAGGAGAAGGGGTGCGAGGCAGGGAGGAAGGTCAGTGAAGGCCGCGTCCCCTGGAGCAGAAGAGGGCAGTGAGAACAGGCGGGATAGCCAGAGGCGTTCCGTAGAGCTCGAGAACAGAGGGAGCTCACACGCGTGTGCACGCGTGTGCGTGTGCCTGCCCAGACGAGGCAGAGGGTGTGATTTGCACAAGGGTACCTGAAGCACTGATGCCCATGCAGCGTCCTCCCCTCTCCCCCAGCCTTTTGCGTGAAACACGTGTGTCAACAGCCATCCCGTGACCGGGCGTGTGTAACACCACCATAGCTCGCGCTTGGTTTGTGAATGCACCAAGGGTGCGAGTGCGATAGAGCAGCTGTTTTTCTGTGTGCAATAAATAGGATTCTAGTAACACCCTGTGCGTTTGCGCTGCAGCTTCGCAACTCACGTTAGAGATGGGAGATGTTAACGTGTGCGTGCGTGTGTGTCTGTGTAGCTGAATGAGGAAAACGTGCCTGGGAGATTGGGGATACTTTTATTCAAGCCATGAGTAGTTGGGGGTCATCAATCAAAATTTTTCACACTTTACCTGCATGCATTCTGTTGGAAACTGTGATGGACATGCATGTCTGTTTTGCCTTGTGCATATTGGGCCTAATAGACTCGTGTGCCTGTCATGCATGTTACAGGTGTTCATGCAGAGTAAATGCAACTTTCTGTATCAGGCCGCGTAAAACTAGGTCCTGGTAGAAGTTGCTGGACTCCAACTCCCATCATCCCCAGTCTGTGCAGCCAGGGATGATGGGAGTTGTAGTCCACCAACTTCCAGAGGGCCACAGGTTTCCCACCCAGGTCCCGCAGAAAAGCAGTATCCACGTGGGGAATTTGTCATGCATTAAACAAAAATAAATGCATCCACAATATTTGTCTCGTGAACTACAGTATTATGCTATTTGCTTGGTGTGTGTCTTTTGTATGTATATATGCATGTGTGAATTGCATCGTGTGCTAGTTTGAGGAAAGTATGAACTGTTTTCTCCTATGGGGGAGCCTGTGGCCCTCCAGATATTCTCATAGAATTGTAGACTTTGGAGGAACCATGGGGGTCATCTAATCCAACTCCCTGCAATGCAGGAATCTTTTGCCCAATGCAGGGCTTGGAACCTGTGAACCTGAGAGTCAGAGTCTCATGATCTACCAACTGAGCTATTGCGGGACTCCTACTCCCATCATCCCTGGCCACTGGCCCTGCTGGCTGGGGATGATGGGAAATGGAGTCCCAACAGAATCACCTGCCTTGCTCCATCTTTGCTTCTTGGTTTCAGATGCTTTGCTTTGGACCAAGGATGGCCTGTTAGCCTCCAGGTGTTTCTGAGACTCCAACTCCCATTAGCCACAAGCAGTACTGCCAATGGTCAGGGATGATGGGATTTGCGGTCTTCTCTACCCTGCTTGTGAATATTAGAGCTCTCACTCACCCCACTAGGCCCCACCCCTGCCTGCTAAAAAATCCTGCCTCCCAGCTCCCCACCCACCATCCCAAAACCTCCTGGAAGAATTTCAGGAGTTCTGATTTGCAACTCCTTTTTCCCCCCTCCTAGGAATTCTGTTCCCATTTTGGAGAAACGCAGCAGTCGTTCCCCACTCCCGCTCACCCATTAATGAAATTAGAAGGAAACCAGTATTAAGAATCAGGAGGGAGGGGATATATGGATCCCCCCCCTCCACCAATAGGCAAATCGAATGACAATCACTTCCGTCAAGGGGGTTGCGGGAAAAGTTTGCGGGACGCTGTTAGGATTCCTCTTTCTGGCAGCGACAAGGTGTCCTATCGACCCGACACGGCTGTGGATGCAACAGGGCTGGGTCATGTTACCCGGAGATGCAAGCTCTGGGAAAGGCAGACTTGGGGAGGGGAGGGACTCATCGCTTTGTATATGTGCAGGGTTGGGGCCTACCAGGCGAGAGCGAATGAGGGCAGCTGGACTCCTGGGAGGCTGGATTCCTGGGTTCTCTGGACGACGCATGAACAAGCCAGCAGGTGAAAGAAGCCCATGGTGGTTAGGTCATTTTAGACTCTCCACCACCCTTTCTCCGCTGTTGGAGGGGAAAGTACAGTTGCTCTCAGGTCCTGCTCTGGTCACTGTGAGAGCAGGATGCTCAACTAGATGTGCCTGATCATAGAATTGTAAAGTTGGAAGGGACCACAAGGGGGCATCTAGTCCAGCCCCCGCCGATGCAGGAATCTTGCCCAAGGTGAATCTTGAACCCACGACCTTGAGATAAGAGTCTTGTGCTCTTCCTTTGCCCCCTTGGTGTTATGAAGATGTGGGTGGCTGTTTAGATAGCGATGTGTATTACTTGTTTTTAAACTGCAATCTCCCCACCTTTTGACTGCAAGGTAAACAGTGCAAATATGACGAAGGGCTGCATCTCACAGGTAGATCATCAGCTTTGTGTGCAAAAAGTCTCTGATCCATCCAATCACTGACATCTTTGGGCAGGCCTGGGAGTGACTCCTGCCTGAAATCCTGTGAGCCCCTGATATTACTGAGCTATTGGGACCAGTGGTCTGGTTCCTATGTGTATGTCTGCACTTATCTTCAAAATATGGTAAGCCATCATTGCTGCATATGGGGAATGGGGGCCTGTACTTTCTGCTGGGTGGGACCCGGACCTCTGCCCCAGGGTCCTGCCCTGATAGCATTACTTGAGAGGAGGATGAGAGGGGAAAGTCGTGACTCTCGAGTTCACAGGGTATGGTTCTAGGTCTGGTGCTGGGCAGGGCTGGGTGATATATCGCCCCAAACTGGTTTGAAGTCCGTATTGTGTTATCGGTTTTGTGATTTTTGACCTGGCAGTATATTGTAAATCATGATGCGTACGTGTGTGTGCTATGCAAAAAAACACAATGTGGGGAAAACCGTGAAGCCAGCCAATGTTTCTGCGTAGCTCCATCCTTAATTCAGATATTGTGAAATATTGGTATATTGAGACGTTTAGCTGGTGATATATCACAGTGTTGGAAACCAGATGTTTCCCAGCCATGGCTTTTTTCCAGCTGACTCAGTTCCGGCACCTCTCAGGTGGGCACTATTGCCATTCAAAGAGAAACGAGCGAGGTGTTCATGGTGAGTTAAAGGTAAAGGGACCCCTGACCATTAGGTCCAGTCGCGGACGACTCTGGGGTTGCGGCGCTCATCTCGCTTTATTGGCCGAGGGAGTCGGTGTACAGCTTCTGGGTCATGTGGCCAGCGGACTAAGCCGCTTCTGGCGAACCAGAGCAGCACACGGAAATGCCGTTTACCTTTCCACCGGAGCGGTACCTATTTATCTACTTGCACTTTGACGTGCTTTTGAACTGCTAGGTTGGCAGGAGCAGGGACTGAGCAACTGGAGCTCACCCCGTTGCAGGGATTCGAACCGCTGACCTTCTGATCGGCAAGTCCTAGGCTCTGTAGTTTAACCCACAGCGCCACCGGCGTCCCCTTCATGGTGAGTTACGGCACCTCTTTTCCTAGAAAAATAGCACTGCTCCCAGCCATAATGCTAGGCTGTGAAAGCCTGCCTCCCTCTGATTGTTACTGGGACTACAACTCCCATCAGTCCTGGCCGTTGGCCATGCTGGCTGGGATTGATGAGAGCTGCAGGCCCCCAGATCCACCATCCCTGGATTACAACACAAGCAAAGTGGAGCAAAGGGTGTGCAGGAACAGTCCCCACCATCACCCCAAGATGCCAGGAAGGGGTGTGTTCCAGTGGGGCTTGCCCTCATGGATCATAGCAGGTGAGAACTGCTGGATTGGGGAGAGAGGCTAGGCCGGAGTTGCAGGATCTGCGGCCCCAGCCCTCATGACCAGTGGTCAGGGATGATGGGAGTTGTAGTCCATGAGTATATGAAGGACTACAGGCTTCCCTTATCCCTCAGTTAAGCTAGGGATGATGGGAGTTGTAGTCCACCAGTACATGAAGGACTACAGGCTTCCCTTATCCCTCAGTTAAACTGAGGTAAACTTGAGGAGCCAGGGCCCAAGGCGTGTTGCTGTCTGAGGCAGAATAGCAAGTGGCAGTCGATCCCCCGCATCCTCCCAGCTGCCCCCCCCAAAAAGTCATGGTGCCCGGCTCGCCAAGTTATTTTGGCACCTGGGGCTGAAGATCTCACAAGCACCTCTATTCCTCCCTGGCAGCAAGAATGGTAACAGTTTTAATTAACAGATTACTTGCATGATGCTCAAAACCAGCTGCTTGAAGACATGGCAAATGGTAGGGCCGGCTCTGTGAAGTCAGGAGGAGTCCTATGATTTGGCGGGGGTGAGGGCTGGGTTCATGCACCTTCATTTTCTTGCCCCTGCCGGGTGAAAGAAAGCACTACTTCACGCTGCGCCTTGTTAAAAGTCTGGAATGCTCTCCCACAAGATGCCATGATGGCTTGAAAAGAGGACTGGGCAGATTTGTGGTGGGCAAGGCTGTTTGTGGCTGTTCCTGTTAACTGCTGCTTCCTCCGCTGAGGGAGGCAACATGCCTCTGAATCAGTGATAGGGACTCAGGTATATAAGCTAGGTGCCAAATGGCTCCTTAAACCAGGGTTACCGTCACCAAAACGGAATATCTAGTTTCCATTTTGAAACCGAATGGCTTGCAAGTTGTATTTTTAAAATACTGCTTTTTGGTTCCTGAAATTCATTCTGATTGTGCAGATAAAATATAACTGATAGAATTCCAAAGGATGTGTTACTAGTGTGTCCCAAATGGTGGAGACATCCTAGGCATCTTCACTTGTTCTTAAGTGGCCAATAAGGTAAAGGTAAAGGGACCCCTGACCATTAGGTCCAGTCGTGACCTACTCTGGGGTTGCGGCGCTCATCTCGCTTTACTGGGAGAGGGAGCCGGCATACAGCTTCCGGGTCATGTGGGCAGCATGACTAAGCCGCTTCTGGCGAACCAGAGCAGCAAATGGAAACACCGTTTACCTTCCTGCCGGAGCGGTACCTATTTATCTACTTGCACTTTGACGTGCTTTCGAACTGCTAGGTTGGCAGGAGCAGGGACCGAGCAACGGGAGCTCATCCTGTTGCGGGGATTCAAACCGCCGACCTTCTGATCGGCAAGTCCTAGGCTCTGTGGTTTAACCCACAGCTCCACCCGCCAGGCGCAAAATGCCCTGAATTCCAGCTGCTCGAAACTGCAGGAAGGGAGAACACCATTGCCCACGGGTCTTGCAGGCTCCCAGCGGGCATCTGGTCCATGTCTGTGAGAAACAGGATGCTGGGCTATGCTGGGCCATTGGCCTGATCCAAAACACTCTTACGTCTTGCCCGCCTGCCTTCCCCTCTTCCCACGTGAGCAGATGGTGGCAGATTCCCGCCTGGGTTACGCCGGCTATTGTTCACCTGCCCGGGCCTCATTAGCACTGCTGCCATGTCTCCCTCTCTCTCTCTTTCTCTCTCTCTCTCTGCTACCTTGCCAGAGATGCTCTGCTTTTTCTCTCCTCCTCCTCCGCCAGCAGCAGACACAGACACATAGGGGAGCCCTGTCTGGAATCGCAGCAGCCCCAATTAGTCAAGGCCTTTTTGTGTACAACACAACAGTGCCCCACAAGCTCTCTCCACGCAGCCGAAGGAGGGAGCAGCGTGGAGCCGAAGGAAACAGCTTTCATGTTCAGTTGTGTGCGTCGTGTAAACTGCAAGGCCTCCTGGACGGGGATGGGGGCCTTTTTTTTTTTTTTAAGTGCTGTTCCTGGCGCACAGTTGGGGCTGGAGATGTGCTAAATCACAGCATTAGCTGTGGCTCCTTCCTCCCGTCTCCCCCAACCCTTCCTTGCTACGCTGTGTTCTCTTTTTTTTTAATGTATAGAGCTGCCTTCATGTCGGTTTGGGTTCCCACCCGTGCCTTCCTTCCCGTTCCCTGCCACCCCCAGCCTTGGAGACCCTGTAGAGGAGGAATCTTCTTCCTCTCGCCTGTGCACTTCTGCACTGACGTGGGGGCGGTGGCACTAGCACACGGCTCCAAACCACCTTTGTGGAGGTTCCCTCGAAAATCCCCGTTTCTCTTGTTCCTCCTCCTCATCTCCTTCACACACAGCACAGTGACTCATTGCATGCGGGGGTGGGGAGTGGCGAGTGATTGAAGCGGTCTGATGTGGGAGCTGGGGAGCTGAAATCCCCGTGTCTCCCCTTGAGAGTGTGCGCACGGCACTCGGACACATCTCTCTCTCCTG